GGAATCCAGTGTATTCCTAAAAGACAACTTCTTTTGTCATTGTGATTTTAAGAGCCCATTGTTACAGTCTGTAAAAGCAGAGTCACTCTGACAAAAACGAAGACATCAGTTTCTCAGTGATTTTCAGAGATCAGTGATGAATAGTGTATCTTTAATAGAAATAATTTATATAGCAGGGACCACTGTAGCTGCCAGATACACCCTCCCCCTCTGCCTGCATCATGCTGTCTAAATCTGTCTTAAAGACTAAAATCCTAGGGAAGCAAACTTTTAAAAATAAGAGATGTTAAAGAAAAGTTTGTGATCATTTCCATCAGTTCAGAAGAGTCCTGGTTTCTCCTAAATAGTCCTGTGATGTTCTATCAAGGCCAAGGGAATGTTGTAGGATTTATTTTTGTTGGGTTTATTTATTTGGTTTTTTAAATTACTTAGAATGCCCTCTTCCTACTGAAACAGTTTCCCTGGCAAGTCTAGAGATAGTATCTATCAGAGGAAGGTTAAAAAGGAATAGTTGCTTACCCAGTTATAGTAATTTCACTACCTTCCTTAGATCCATCTTCATCTGCAAAAAGTGGAGGAAGGTTGGAGCCAGGCACCAAGTTCTCCATACCTCTAGTAACAAAAAAACCAAACAAAAAAAAAAGGCAAAAAAGGTTAAGTTAATTATCTCATTGTTTCCCTTCAGCAGCACTTCAGTTTCAACATCACAACATACCACAGGTTTTTTTACCCCATAAACCAATTGGCCAGTCATAGCTGGTTGGCCTCAGGACAGATCCTACACACAGCTGTGCTTAAGGTCAGAGAAGAGTGACCATAAATGATGCTTCAATTCAGAGTTTCCCTCTTAACTGAGCCCTCTGCCAATGCCACAGTGTTGCTGGAAATCACACTGTAGCATTCTGTTTTATCCCTTAAGAGAAATTTTCATTCATCATAGTCAGCACATAGGTACGTAGATCCCACTCTTCCAATCCACCTTCCTGTTCATCCTCAACTGTGCACCCTCACCACTGAGGTTTCTGTGTTGACCCCAAAAGAAAACTGAAACTAAGTCCCCCCTGAAGTTTCAAATTAAGATTGTATTTGATAATCCCTTGTCCACATTTTCACAATATATCTATGCATGTAGAGTGTAATTGCTAAGTAAGAGAACACAGCAATGTTAGCTAGATTATTTAAAGCCTCGACTCCCATAGAACAGTTACAGAAACAAGCAGTTTAAGGCACAATGTACTTCTCATTTAATACAAACTCACTCTACAATTACAAGTTGCAGTCTCAGCCCATTTTAAAGGGCCATACTAGTTAACTTTCTGTTCCTTAAGTTTAGATGTCACCTTTGATGAGCTAGCAGATATTCAACTTGAATATTGCTAGTATACTTGGGCTTTAAGCTTGGATGGACTGATATGAGTTATAATCTTGTGCTGCTTTCTCCTGGATTGGTGTTTTCCATTCAGCATTGAAATCAAAGTGATCCAAGACACAAAATCCTGCTCCATATTTTTTATATTATATGTTTTCCCACACCTCAGTTCCACAGGTAAAGGTTTTCTACAAACAAAAGTAACAACACCATTTTTTCCATCTTATATCATTTGCAGATGCCTACCACAAGTACTACATCTGATATGGCGCAAAACTTGTGCCAACAAACCAGTGAATACAGCAGGCCACCCAAACAGGTGAGCACTGTGCTCCTACTCAAAGGACTTTGGATGCGACAGACATTTATTCCACAGCTATATTTGGTTAAAATTGGCCAAAGGACTCAAAAGGCTATTCTCAGGAACCAAGAGTGTAATCATACATCTGACATTCTGTTTTGAGATCGTGAGCTCTGCTCTGTGGATTTCATGCCTCCCTTTGGAAACATAAGAGTATCTACTCCCTTTAGCAACAGCTCTACACCTTCATAAGCTACTACAGATGTTAGCTGATAAATGAATCTCTAGTAAGTCTCCAGTTTGTTCAGTTAAGCAAATGTTCAGTTAACGCTCACAGCAGATCAGTTGAAGGTCTCCATGAAACAGGCACTGTGTCAACCTAATTTCCACCATGAGGTTCATTTAAGTTTCCGAAGAAGACTATCCTTCCTATACAGAAGGAAAGTGCAAGAAAGAAGAGTGGTTACCTTCTCCCATTTCTCAGATGACATTCACCGTTTTCTCTTCTGCTTTTCCAACTGTTGAGATCCTTAGATCATCCTTAAGAATCTCATCATTCTGATTCCTTATCTAGAAAATAAAGCTAAGCAGACTGCTTCTAGGTGGTACAGACATTGACCTCTAGCAGAGAAACATCCTTTATTGATGTATAGGACAGACTCAACCAGGAATGAAGAAATCTAATTCCTGCTCTACCATTACAAACGATGAACTGAGTATAGTTTCGGGATCTCAGCCTCAACAGAGATGTGGCAAAGCTGGAGACTGTCCAGCAAAGGGCTGTCAAGACGGTCAGGAAACTAGAGCACCTGACCTGATAAGGGATGTTGAGGAAACTGGGCTTGCTCAGTCTGGCAGAGGAGGCTAAGGGCAAATCTAATAGGTGCCTAAAGCTACCTGATGGAAGTAGCAGAGATGACAGAACCAAACTCTCAGTAGTTACATTGGCTTTGCATGTTCAGATTGGACACCAGGAGGGTAGCACAACACTTGAACAGGTTACCAAAAAGGTGGTGGTGGAGCCTATCCTTTCAGTTTTTAAATGCTCAGTTACACAAAGCTGTAACTGTCCTAGTGTTGGCAACAGTCCTGCTTTGAGTGGGAGGCTGGACTAAGATGACCTCCAGATGTCCCTTTCAAGCAACATCTGCAGTTCTCTGAACCAGAACTCTACATTATGCTTTCTTTCAAATACTAGCATCTTTGACATAAAAAGGAAGAAAAACAATACAATGCTTCTAGGAAAAGCGGCAAGGTACTCTGGTGGAACATATAGGATTTTAATTCTTAAAGAAGGAAGTGTAAACAGTATTTCCTCACACGTAGAAAAGAATCTACATCAAGGCTAGTGCTTTATGTACTACAAGAAAATCTGAAAATTCAACTGAATTGAAGAATGAGCCCAGAAAGCTGTTTAAGCACAGCTACTAAATATAAAACAAATTACTTCATGCAGTTGTCAAGTAACAGAGTAATGAAGTTTTGCTTTATGTTACACAATCCTTTCGTTTTGTCAGTCAAAAGTCCTAAATTAATATCTTCAAAAAAGGAAGCTTAAGCAATTAGACTAAAACCTTGCAATTCTATTTTAATGTATAGCTATGAAAAGCTTTATGCATGTCTGAAAAAATAAAATAGCTTTCTTTGTTGTCCAGGAACCTCTGGTAGCCATCTTGGGGTCAAGGACCTCTTCTCAGCCTCACCACGTCAATCTACTGGCACTTAGCACTCCCACACATGCCTTAAAAGAATACATATCCTCTGCATCTGAACATACCATTACCAAGTGCTTCTGTGCCTCATGCCCACTGCAACCTTCTCACCAGGTCCCGATATGTCTGTTCACATCTGGACCTAGTCAGCAGCAGCAGAATCTATGCTTGCTTTCAAACTGTGGGGAAGCAGCTGGACATCAACCTTAACAACATATAAACAGAACACAAACACAGGAAGCTGGGAGAACACACAATTCATTCTTTTCTTTTTTTTATTTAACCCATATGATTTAGATACTCACTCTTTCAGACAATACTGAGCCACATCCTAAAGAAAATTTAATATCAGTGAATTTACAGTGGCTTCTAATCTATTCTAGAAAGCAAGAAAACATGATAGTTCCCCCAAAAGCTCACTGAGAACTAATGGGAACCTACACAAGTCTTTCAGTCATATTTCTCATGGATAACTGTCCCATTCCTTTGCTCTGAAGCCACTATCCATTAGTTTTAACCCCACTGCAGAGCTACATGTTCATTTCAGGGATATAACAAAATGGGCAAAAGAAAAACCTGAGGAAAAGAACAGTAATGGGGAAGGGAAGGGAACTACTGCTTCTCAAACCTGAGCCTTTACAAAACTCACAGGACTTGAAAAGGACAGTTGGCAAGTCCCATCTAGATTTGTTCTGAATATTTGTGGAGCTTTGTCAATTTAAACTCTGGCTAAAGCACCTAGTGAGACACATTTGACTAAATTCAAGGCACAAGAAACAATGTACACTTACTTTTTTAATGGCTAACACATATATCTTATTTTCATTTTTTAACTATGTCTACCCAAATGCAAAATAAAAATGAAATTGATGTTAAACTCTAAACCTTTACATGCACTACAATTCAATGCAAGTAAGCGCAACCTCCAAATAAAACTAATTCAAACTAGAGCAGCTCTGAGTTCACTGTACTGCTGCACTATTAGTTGTATTGGCTCAAGGAAGCAACCAGCTAAGCAGGAATACAGAAAGAATGATTTATTTATTAACAGCAGCATTTGATAAAGTGCTTGAAGAACCATGACTTATTTTGGGATAGATCAGTTCTGGAAGATCTGGCATGTACTCAATTATATTTCCTTTACAACTTCTGTAGGGTGGAGCAAAGACTACAGCCAAACCAAAACTGTAACGCTCAATCTTACCACCACTTGGAGTTTCCATAGAGATTCTGCTTCCATTTTAAGAACAATACTGCTCAACCAGAAACACTGTTCTCAGAATGCCAGCAGCAGACATATACCTCCCACTCTACTATGGATAAGATGATATAGTCAGCAATACATTCTTCTGGCTTTACCTTAGTTCCGAACACTTCAGGCTCTCCTGTGCACTGATTTTACTCCCAAACGCAGACTCCACAGGAACTCAAGATTTACGGGTTTGGTTTTTTTTTTTCCCTTGTATTTCCTACATCCAGCATAACAGTGGTCAGTTGTGGAACAGTACTAACAACCTGACCTACAGGGGCTGGAAGAGTTTTTGGATGTCTGGTTTGGGGTACTCTACCAACAGGTATTTGAAAAGGACAAAAAAAACAAAAGCAAAAAAGCAAGTACAAGGATCAAAGAGGAAGAGTGCAAGCTTGAGCTCTAGAGAACAAAGCTGCATTATGTGTGGAAAAATCCGAGATGAGACTGAGAAAAACACCAGTGAAGAAAAGTTTCCTACCATTCCATGCTCTCAATGTTTAAACATTGATAAGATTTCCAAAGATCCATTAGTGACCTACACTAACATTAGTTAAAACTCTTTATGAACCTAGAGAAGATTCAACATTAACCTAAGCTATCAAAAATCTGGCTTAATTTATCTTTTTCTTTCCCTCCCTTCCCTCATCTCCCAGAGAAAACAAAGGCTTCATGGTGCAGAAAATCTACAACAGTATTCTGTAACTTTCTGTAGCTCTCCAAAGTGTTCACTGCTTCCACAAAACGTAACTTGCTTTCCTTGTGTAAAGTGATTCACAACATATGTGAAATGAGCCTGTACTCTACAGTGTCTGCACAGGTCTGGTCATGCAATAAGTCACTGTCAAACGCAGACTGACTTCTCACTTATCCCAAGGCCACATGGACTTTTAAGATGGCTCTGAACACTGGAAAAGAAGGGTGAAAAGACTCCTTTGCAATGTTGTCTTTGCAATGACTACATCGTATCAGATGAA